AACACAAAAACAGCTCCGTCGTTTCATATTCTTCAAGGCAGGAAGGGCCAATGGGGCTTGCACGTATGCACATCAGAGTCAACTGTTTGCGCCACGTGAAGTGACCAGCCAGCAGTCCCGCAAGTTGTGTGCAGTCCAATCTGATCAATTAACGCAAATCCCTAGAAAGATCCTCGGAGATTGAGGGCAACATTAGTTTTGCCTACCTGAAGCACCTCGAACTCTCCTAGTTAGTGCTAAACGAAATATCCATCCAGTTTATGACGGAGACTTCGACGTCCGAAGGTGGGAGTGCTGCAACTGATTGCGGACCAAAGAATGCCAAGTGGTCAGCTGTATCATCAACAGGTATATATTTTCGTCGAGACTTACATTGTCGAACTAGTTTGGAAGTAGGTAGAGTACCTTGAGTGCAGCTTGGCTGGTCCACCCACTTTCAACAACGTAGTTCATGGTTTTGAGGATTGCAATACCTCAGCTTGAAATATCGAGGCATCTTCCCCAAGAGAGAAGTGTAGTTTGTTGCCACTTGCAAAATTTCGAATTTTTCATTTACGACCTTTTATGCTGAAGACGTCGCGTACGATATATTCAATGTATATGTATGTACGTACGTATATTTGTTTGGGTGCACCGCCGCCTGAAGATTATTGAGCGATAAATCGCAATGAAAATCCACCAGACGAATATTCGCTTAAATTGCGCACTTAAATGACAACAAAGCGATGGGGTACACACATATGTATGTATGTATGTGTTTACTTGTGTTTGTGTGCGCTGCAGCGGGAGATGAAGGTTCCTCTCCCCTCCTCCCCCGCGAGCAAACAATGCCTTGAATTACTCAGCGTTTTGAGGGATGCACAAAAATGTAGGCTGGGGGATTGTGTGCGCCCGGGAATTCACTCCAAAACAATTAAAAACTGCGTGCAACCAACAAGAACATTGGAAAAAGTTTTGTCGTTGTTGCGATTGCTGTTGATTTTGTTGTTAATTTTCATGTTTGCTGCTGGTATTATTGTCGCTGCCGTTGATGCGACACTATGTTGCAACAACGAGGCCATCGGCAAGTTCAACGCGCGAATTACCCGCACATGAGCGGAAAATGCTCGCAACCGGGGATGTGCAATCAAATGTGGCATTTAATTTCAACACACTGCTTTGTTCTGAACAGTGCTTTCAAGGCTTCTATGCTGGAAGCTAAATGGGGCACAAAGCGAGCGAACAATGCAATGCGGATGAAAATATTGGAGAACAAGAAAGAACTTTGACTTGATTTGGTTGCGCCTCGCAGCATTCGCAACGCTAGCCAGCGGCCGGTTTAATTGAGCATCAGCGAAAAAAGCACTCAGAGATGAAAATCCGCAAGACAAACTTTTGCCGCAACGCTGACACCGAAGAGAAAGTTCGGAAATGTGGGAAAATAATTGCATTAAACACGGAAAATAAGGCGGAAACAGTTGCGCTTGACAAGAAAACCAGATTAAACTTTTTCTGCGTTTTCACCCGCCCACATACTGCCTCCGGTAATCGAATTGAATGGCGGCGTGTAAATCAATGAAGAGGAAATGGAGAATATAAAGTAAGTGAAGCATACAAGAGTTGATGCATAACTAAGGTGGGCAAATATTCAGTTACTCCAGCAACCAAAGCATCTATTTAGAATCTTAAGTATGTAGCTGGTAGGCTCATTTGTAAGAGTTCGATTTTCATTTCTTCGGCTTGAAAATTAGTTAGTGTTTTTCACTCTCGGTTTTACTGTTTGCAAAGAAATCATTTTCGAGAAGGCGTCGCACAATTCTAGAACACCACAGCGTTGCATTGAGTTATGTTCAGTTCAATTTTTAATGTGAGCATGTAAGTATGTATGTACACAAAGCTTTCCCTGAACAAAGAAGGATTATTTGCGACATTTCATATGAATTAACCGGCCCTATTACGGTTGTCGACGTCGAAGTCGATGTAATTTTTTGGTGAAAAAATAGTCCTCGCAAGTCCAACGCTAGCTACACTGACCACAGTTTTTTGCGGAAAGGTGTTCCTCGCAAAACTACTGTGGTCAGCGAAACGGAGTTGGTCTGATGAGGACTATTTATTGACGAAAAAAATTACATCGACGTCGACGTCGACAACCATGATTTCTTAATTTTTGACATGGATCTGTTGCTATGAGGCGTATGATCTGTCGGTCTTTTGCTACCCTGCTATCACATCAAAGGATCGGGTCCTAAGTCAGTGCCGTAGCCTGAGCTTCCTTTGCCGCTCGTTTGCAACGAATGTCAAAATCCCGAATTATTGACTTAGACCCAGACAACGAAAACAAACAATAGCAAACGTATCGGTATCGTTTAGTTTCGCTCATAGAAGGTAACGAAACACAACCGATTCAAATCACTCGGAAACATTTTGCGAGCGGTAACTTTACTCTGCTAGCGTTCGCGATAGCTAACGCAAACAAAACAATTGAATGCAGATAAATAGGGAAACAAACGAAACATAAAGCCAGTGCTCACAACACAAAACGAAACGATTCGTTTAGTGATCCCCTAGTATGAATACATACATGTGTTTGTATGTACGGAGACCGGCCCGGCCCGGTACGACGGGACACACCCCAGCCCGGAAATAAAGAGCCAACTTGTATTGTATGTATACATATGTACATATTTTTAATTTTGTGTTTATGCGAATAAATTTTTTACATCAAAGATTTGTATAATATATTTTCTGGTAAGTAGAAAAAGTGGAAGGTATTTTTATTTATAGATATGTAAACAAAACTACTAAATAGCTTATTTTTTCTATCGGTTTCCAAATATTTTTTCTTTTGCTTTTATCCTTGACTGTACATACTAAAATAGCTTAGGAATAACTCATTAAAGACTGTTTAAATTTTTGTAATAGTTAATAAAAAATTCAGTGAACGTAATAAACGATAAAATCAATAAAATGTATGTAATTAATGCGCAAAGACAGAATGAGAAATAAATAATGCAAAAATGATTATGTCAGCGATCCATAAATAAGTTTTCATTAAAGCGCTTTATTATATATACATATGTACACATGTATGTTATGTTCATTCATATCGCACACCGTCTTCAAAAGAGCCACAACTCAAAATTTGGCATTTTTGAAATTATGCGTTAAAAATGTACACAGAGCTTTTATTTACCTTTCAGCAAGAGCTGGAGCAAATTTTTGTTATAATTTGTTTAAAAAACCTAAGGTAAAATCGCCCTTGCCCAAATGATTTGCATGTGCTACGAAATAGTTTTTCGCATTTTCTGACGAACGCATTATTTTGAGTTGTGACTCTTTTGAAGACGGTATGCGATATGTATTACACGCCTGCTTCTGAACGTGCCTTGCGTGCTAAAACATAGCAAGAGGCGTCAGTGATCATCGCAACTACGACCAAAAATCTTTCGTCAGACCCAGAAAAAGTGTTTCATTGCGGTATCTGTTATATGTACCTCGTCAGTATTTCAAAGTTTTTGGAAATGTACGTAAAAAAGCAACTACATATTTATTTAAAAACATTTTTGTTTAAACTACGTACTGATGCGTGGGATTTCCAAACATCTCCAACTAGGAATCTATTCTTATTAATTTTGCTTATCAACATTTTAGGTTCATTTTAACGGAGCAATCAAATAGAAACTCTCGTAGTGCCTGTGTTTCATTGCGGTTTTATTTACATACAAATTTAAACCTTTGCTACATTCTATTTACCTGTTGTGAAATTTAAGCAAGCGCATGCAATGGGAGCTTTCCGAAGTCATAACTTTGTAGATATATGTACAGATAAGAATGTACATACATACATATATATGTACGCACATATTTGTATGCATAAATTGTGAAATATTTGTTTACAAACACAAAATATTCATTTTAAAGAGAGACATACCACTGCAAAATCTTTTCCAAGTTGCTGTTTTTTTTGCTTTTGCAAATTTAAATAAATTATCTAAGCATTTCATCACTCAATGCTATACGAGTGCAAAGCTCTCAGCGTAATCAATTACATATGAGTCGAAAAAAGTATCTAATTCAAATGCAATTGTTTTGTTATAAATAGATGTGGGGGACAAACAGCGTCAAAACGCAGTTAAACTCTCAGTTGAGGGCGGTACATTGTACGAGTAGGTGGATTATATAAACGACGGTGAATACTAAGCGAATTACATACATACATACATATATTAGTGATAGTGCCTAAAGCGATCGCAATGCCTTCAAGTGATAAACGCAGCGAGAAATCGAAAACAAGCGCAGTGGCTGCAAATGGAGCAGCGCCGCCACGCATCGAAATTCCCAAATGGTTGACGGCGGAACTATTTGAGCAACTGCTAAGAGAATCAGTTGCAAACTACCAAAAGATCACACAGTTCGAGGCAAAGCCCGCCTTGGCTGCAGGAGAAAACTATGCTACCATAATGTTACGTGTCAACATAGAAGCTGAACTAAAAGGTTTGTAAAAAAAAAAAATGAAAAAATGAATGAATGAAAATAATGATAGAATACAATATTGCCCCAGCCCTGAGGGCGATGACATTTCTCAAGTAAAAGTAAACAAGGCCGAAGAGGAAAGAAACTGTTAAAACAGTAATATTTCTTAAAATAAAATTTTTCGATAGGAAATGTAGTTTAATTATATTAAATTGAAAAATATATGTATATGATTTATGAAAAGAAATTATAAAGAAAATCATAAATAACTTAATAGTAAAACCAAATATTTGTAAAGTAAGCTTTCTAAATATAAACGAAATCGGACTATAAATACGGGGGTTTAAAATATCTCGACTCCTGCGCCACCTATCGGATTTACTCATCTTTTGTATTTGGGTCATCATCGAGCCCTGAGCCAACTGTGAAGTTTCAAGTCTCTAGGTCATCGGGGTCATCGGAAAGTTGGTCAAAAATTGATTGCAAGATTTACCCCTAACGAACATACATACTTACATACATACATATGTACATACAGAGCAAGTCAAATAAAAGCTTGTAAAAACGGCGAATTTTGTGAAAGTATTAGTGGAAGACTAGTGCGGCCGCTTTGGTGTAGTGGGCGCTACCACTCCGCGGGCCTTGGGTTGAAGCTCTGGTCAACGGCGATCGTCCCTCGGCTGGCAATGGCAAATCTCCGAGTGTATTTCTGCCATGAAAAAAACAGCTTCTCATAAAAATACAATCGCCATTCGGAGTCGGCGAATAATTCCGCTGTGTGTGACAACATTAAGTCGCACGCCACAAATCGGAGGAGAAGCTCGGCCAAACACTAACATGTGTGTAAGCGCCAATGTAGAGAGATTAGTAAATTTTAATGCATTTAAAATTTCTGAGGTGTTGTTTACTTTTACATCGACAAAAGCAAAGTAGCGATACATTTGTTCTCGTGAATGGAAGTGGCCACAGTGCATTGCGTATCTTATCTACATAAATCATAGAAATAGATGTATAGTGTCATACATAGAAAATTTAATCAGACTATAAACGAGAGTATTCCAGGCCGCTGCTATTCTTCGACGTATTGTAAAAAAAAATGTAAACCGAATATCAATTTATACATATGTAGATCCTGCTCTTTTTCATTTTTGTAATGTATCTATAAATGGATGTGGTCGAAAAAAAAAATCACACAATTCAAAACTATCTGACAGCACGCAATTGAATTTTTAATGAAAAATAGAAAATGCCAACTTGAGAAGGGTTAAAAGTTATTCATCATTTGACATTATAGTCGGTGTTCAAAAGAGCGAAATGTCAAAATCATTGCTATCTTATTTAAAAGGCCTTGAGTGGAACCCATGGTACAATAATTACAGGTATTGTCTTCCCAGAGAATTTTGCTTCACATCGAAATGCGTGCTCCTTTATTTTCATTTTGACGCAGTTCAATGTTGATTCTTTTACTCTTATTTGGCTTTGCTTTTTGTTTTCGCTTAATTTAATTTAAAAAAAATTTTCAAAACAAAAGAAAAAACTTTTGAAATGAAGTGATAATGAATTTAATTACTAAGCAATTGTCGTTTTTTTTTGCTTTTGCAAATTAAATAAGTTCTCTGCAATAAGGTTTGTTTAAAAAAATACGTGTACATCTAATGGTATATAGGGTATCGAAATATCCCTTTTCCCTAGCAGTAAACCTTTTAGTGTGGGCAACAATGATGTTTTTCAAATAAGGTATATAGATCGGACCTGTAATTATTGTACCATGGGGAACAGACGAATGTACATTAGAGTGCTTTATATGGCTCTCACCAAAATATTTCGACTCAAATCTGCGTTAAAATTTGTATATTCAACTTCCATGTTTTCAACATGTTCAACTTCTACAAATTTAAAATAATGCATGGATGGTGGGGCATTCTTATGTGTCAACCGCATTTGTATTTGTGTACACATTTAATTTTACTTGCATTTGTATTTGTGTACACATTTAATTTTACTTTGCAGATGATACGACCAAATCGTTGTCATACATGATGAAGATCCCGCAAGAAAACGAAATCTTTAAGGAAATGATGCGAAACCATAATATTTTTGAAATCGAATACAGGATGTATCACGAAGTCGTTCCCGAGTTCGAACAGTTGTACCGAGATGTTGGCATCGAGAGGAGTTTTTCAGCGAAATGCTACGACCTCGAGACCCCTTCGGAATTTGGCGTAATTCTACTTGAAGATCTACAACCATTCGGCTACAAGAACGCCAATCGATTGGAGGGACTTGACTTGGAGCACACAAAGGCTGTGCTTGAGCGCTTGGCACAGTGGCATGCAGCTTCTGCCATGCGTGTAGAGACGAGGGGCTTGTATCCAGAGCTGTTTATTAAAGGCATGTTCACCGAATCTCAGCGCAAGGTATTTGACAGTTTCAGTGCCACTATTAAAGCTCCATTTTTGGAGTCTGTAAAGGCCATAGAGGGCGGTGAGGCATATGTTGGTAGCGCGGTAAGTGAACTCTTGGCTTGTTTTGGCGTTGGCTCGCGTTGGCTAACCAGGGTTTTTATTGGAATCATACGTAATGTAGGCAAAAGCGTTCGACATCATGTTGGAAGAACTCTTCATAAAGTCCACTTACGATCCCAGCGAGTTCAATGCTTTAAACCATGGCGACTGTTGGAGCAACAATGTCATGTTTAAGTATGACAGCGAGGGAAAACTAGAGAATACACTACTCATCGACTACCAGATGATCAACTATGGTTCACCGGCGAAAGACTTGCACTACTTTCTGACGTCATCTACAAGCTACGATGTGAAAGTGAAACAATTCGATTACTTTATCAAATTCTATCACGACAACTTAGTGAAGAACTTGAAGCTTTTGAAGTATCCCAAAAAGCTGCCCACGCTGAAGGAAATTCATATCGCAATGATAAAGAATGGCATGTGGGGTAACTATTTATCAATTGGAATATTTTCTTTGTCACTTTCGGTTTCTTTTAGGGTTGGCAGCGGCTTTGGGTGTTATGGCGGCAGCTTTGTTAGAGTCTAACAGTGATGCCAATATGGATGGCTTTTTTGGCGATTCGGACGCTGCAGTTCGTTTTAGAAATGCAATGTTTACAAATCCTAGATACCGCAAACATTTGGGAATACTGCTGCCGTTTATGTGCAATCGCGGCGCCTTTGAATAATTAGTAAACATATTCGTACATACATACATACATATGTAAATATATTAAGAACATGTAAAATATTTTATTTGGCAATATAGCTATACAATCATCGGAAGTTTTATGGGAATCGTACAAGATTTTTTTAAAGCCATTATCGAAATTTAGTATATAAGTTATATGTGCATTAGGGTGGCCCAAAAATGTACAGTAACATAAAATTTTTAGAATTTTCTTGCTGCCACCCCCAGAATTATAGGAAATGAAAAATAGGGAGAACCGGGGAAATTTTTTTTTCTTAGAATTGCTATAAAATGGCTAAACATAGATAAATATTTTTTGATCGAATAAAAATATTTCCCTTCAGAAAGCTTCCAACAATATAATTATGATAAAAATTTAATTCTAAAAATCTAACTAACTATTTTTACAAATGTGTGTAACGTGGTTACGAACCACAGCTGTTAAATTATTTTAACAAGTCCTCTTATGTAGATAACACGCTGTAATAAAATAAAAAAATCGGGTCGGGTCGTAGAGCTGGCCGAGTAATTCACGAAACTGCTTTTAAAATTTTTCGCACACCCCAAAATTCCCAACTTTTTCTTAAAAGACCATTCTCACATGAAATCCGGCATTAAACAATTTTTTTGCTCGGCTATTTTTAACCAAATTTAGGTACATATGTCTTTAGAAATAAGACTATTTATACTTCCTAAAGAAATAATAATACAACATTTTTTGCCAAAAATTTCCAAATAAAATTTTTTCTTTTAGTCATTACTTCGAAAAGGATACTTAATTCCGACTAAAACTAGGTACCATTCATGAAAATCAAAAAAAAAAATATTATAAAGCTGTAACATTTTGTATAAACAGACATAGTAAGATTTGCAACTAGACGAACCATTGAAACCTCAAATTGAATTCAATCCAAATGTTTTTATTGTTTGTAGATTTGTAAAAGACAATATTTTTATCTGATGAAAAAATTTTTAGTTTTAACGCTTTTATAGCAATTCTACGAAAAACTGTATTTTCCGCATGTAAAATATAAGGAGAATTTCAAAACCCCGCCAGCGCGATATTTGCGATATTCTTCAGTTGTGGTAAAAAAATTGGGCAGCCCTAACGTACATACATATGTACATACTTATATACCTGAGTGCGTCACATTCTTAACCCTCTACCGCATACGACCCAAATATGGTGTCACTACTTTGGCAATTGTTTCCCACCTAACAAGTGGTTTAAAAATATATTAAGCTAATTAAATTCATTGAAAAGGTAACTACGAGTAACGGAAAGTAATTGGTTTGCCGATGCTTAGATGACATTTGAATATAACCTCAACTGCTAAAAAGAAAAACTAATGAAAAAGCCAAGTTGTGCTAGTAAAACAATCATCCTCTTTTGTGTCAATCAATATTTGGTTAATTGCTATCCAACTTTTTTCTATTGTTTTCTTTTAATTTTCCATATGAGTATTTATTTGTAAAATAATATTTATAATAAATGTCTTGGAGTCGTTTTTTCTTTCGATATAGGTTTATTAATACGTAAATAACGTGTTCTTCACAGATACAACTTTCATATTCATCTTCTTCATAATTCATGCAGTAGAGGGTTAAGTAACAAGTAATTTTTAGCAAAAAAAAACCGACTTAAAAAAAAATATATATATCTATATATTTCATGAGCCAATGATCGGATCTAATAAAATAGTATGGGACCACCTCTGAGACACTACCTTTCCGTTGCAAAAAGAATTATTGAAATCGGTTGACGTGGTGCAAAGTTATGCGGTAACATACATAAAAAAAAAAAAAAAAGATTCCGACGAACTGATAACCTCCTCCTTTTTTGGAAGTCGGTTAAAAAGATAATTGTCAGTCGACTTTAATTAATGCAATGTTTGGTTGAGTCAAATTATTTGAATCTAAATTTGATTTGCCTTACATTTTATCTCCACCTTACTCTGCTTATCTTAAGTCCATTGACTCTTAGGGCATATGCACCTAAGAACATGTGCATACAAAGATGATAAGAGGATTTTAAATAATATCACCACGACTTGTCTTATCAAGGTTATTTGCAAATTATAGATAATATTGGGAGGTCTTAAAGTTAATAAAAGTCTCTCTATTACCTTCACTGCTATCTGTTATTCATAAATGTTATCATAAAGCCAATTGCTTGCCTGTAAAATTAAACACCGTTTGCATTTGGTAGTCGAATTTACTAAACGTAAACCTAAAGCTCGAAATTGAATTTAGTGAACAGTTTTGTGGCTGTGGCCAATTTTCTTTGGAAATATTTTTTTTTACCAGAGCAAAAAACTGGTGGCTTTAAATTCTGCAAATATTTACCACATTCAATTATCCCTCTGCCACACTTTGACCCCCTTCTAAATATTGCAGTTGAAATAGAAATATTATGGACCGTTTATGTAATTCATTCAGCAGCGATTTTTGTATATGCATGTGTGTGTGATGATACCCCTGCAGGGTAAGGCTACTAGTTGTGTACCAGAATGCTACCTGTTTGCTTGTCGGCCCAACTAGTTCACGTTCCATCCGTTCTTCAATCTAAGATGTCAATTGTCCGCTCCTGCATCAGCATCTACCAGTGGAAACACTAGTAGCATTATACCAGTTGACGGGATAGTCTGCCGCTTCATCAAAGGAATAAGTATGCAATTTTGCTTGCCTCGCTCCAACTGGCAGGCCATCGCTTTAGCACAAAATAGTTAATGGACTGGTATTTTTCATGACTGGTTTGGGTTTTCACTGTAGAGTACTTATGGGCCATTCCATTGTGACTGGTGGGACATTTTACTACAGAATGTGATCAATCGTGAATTTTAGCTATGTCCTCGGAACTTATACAAAAGCGAAAGATATTTTTAACATAGAACGATAACTAATGCATAAAATAGCTTTAGCAAAAATACCAAACGATTTCCTAGTTTTATGTAACTATCATTTGAATGAATGTGACTGGTGGGACACTGAAAAGAACTCTTTTTTTATCCTTGTGCACTCAAAGATGAATTTTAGCCAAAACACTTAACCTGCGCGAACGATGTTTTTGTGTTGAAAAATATCAATTATACGCTTTCGTTTTCATTAAAAATGAGGTTTATATAATCTTCATAGAAATATTATTTTTGATTTTTTTTAATATTTTCTAAGAGATTAATGAAATGTAGTCATTTAATAAATAAAGGTTACTACCGAAATAAAGATAATTAGGGCACATTTATATTTATGTCGTTTTCCTCCTTTCAATTGAATGACCCTTACATAGACGTATGTATGTAGTACATATGTACATACTAAGTAAATGCATATCGTCACCTGAAATTCGGAAAGACGTAACAACATCGTAACTGAAATGGAAAAAGTCGTAACTAATATTTTTAATTTTTTTCATTAAATGATGTGGGAGTTGTTATTCGATGAAATCCATCATAACAATCAAAAACTAAATTTTTAATTTTTTATGACTTATGACTTTTTGAATTTCAGCGACGATGTTTGTTACGTCTTTTTGCATTTCAGGTGGCCATATGTATGTATGTACATATGGTATGTGTACTAGCAACATATAAAATACTCTTTTGGATTTGCTCAACCGCGTAGTTGAGTAAAAGTTGGTTTTGTGTTTTTGTGCGTGTGTTGCACACTTCGTCACTTTTGCAATGCGGCAGTAACTTTTGCACGGCTTCACGCGCCGGCCAACACTTCAGCTGCAATTGCAGAGCTAAGAGGAACGTAGTGAAGAAGGTGGAAGGAATAGGTAAAACTTTACTTGTACTATATATATATTTTTTTCTCCTCTACCTTTCTAATTTATTTCGTGGACATTGAATGCAATTATTGAGGAAGCCCTAGGATCTTTTGGTGTTTTAGCATTCGCACAAGGGCATACATACATATGTATTAACTTTGTTCGCATAACGGTTATTTTATAAAGCCTGAACGAATCAAGATATTTATAGAAATATATACCTTATGTATACCGAATTGATCACAATGAAAAGAGAAATCGATTAAGCCATGTTTGTCTGTCAGTCCATCCTTCCATCAAGTACTTTTTTTTTACTCAAGGCAGATGGTAATGAACACAGAAATTCAAAAACTGCCTCAATTCGGCAACCACTGCAAATAATTCGCTCCATATCAATGTTTGCAATAATCTTTTAGAATTTTTTAGATTTTCGGGAAATATAATTTATACTCATCCACTTCATCCTTCTACTTTTTGTGTTGGTGTTGGTTGATTTTTGTTTGTCTGCAAACCAAACTTGACAAGGGATGACGGAAATTCGTTCCAAAATAAATCTTCCACTTTTTCTTCTTTGGCAGAGAAAAGACGTATTGCTTCTTAAAACGAATTTATCGGAATGGATTGGATGAGAATGATGTACATATCGCACCCTAAATCAAAAACCGTCACAACTCACAATTTATCAAAATGTTTTTTTTTTTTCATAAAATAGTTCGCAGACCATATTTCTAACGGCCACCAAAAATATCTTCTTTATCACCATTTACTCTAACTGGAAAAATACTATTAATACTGTTTTTGTTTTATTTACGTCGCTTCAACTTACTGCCGTCCCTAAATTGGCGCGTCAAGCGCCAAACAACTGTCAAAAATCCTCATGCCCGTACAATTTGTATGAAGCATCCCACAATAACGCGGCGCTAACGCCGAGCAAATGGAATTTTCATTTTTGACAGGGCGTCACGTGTTGAAGTTGGATGCAGAAGACGGAAAGAAAGAGAAGGGACAAAAAAGTGAAAGAGGAAACGAGAATAAAAACGTCCTCTCTGAGAAATCGTCAAAATTAACGACGCGTTGATTTGGGGATAGCGCGCGCCGACACTCGTTGACAATGGATAACCCAACGCTTAGCGCTCCAATTTAGGGACGGCAGTTAGTTTTATTGATTATTTTTGCAAAGAATAAGAGAAATGTCAAATGTAAAAGTAAAAAAAAACGCTAGCAAGGTAAAGAGATTTGTAAAGGTATTCTTAATAAAATATTAGGTTAGGATATATTTCAATTGCTTAACTTAACCGAAAAAGTGATCATAGTGGCACAGAGAAAAATTGGAAATTT